AAATGACATTTCTCTTTCAGGACTTTTCAACTGGTGAAGGTTGGACTTTCTGATAGCCCTGGACCAATGTGATATCAATCTTTCCCCACTGTCTACTTTGAAGGGTGAATCTGGCGGCTTCAGATAACACATGGATGCATACGCCTCTCCACCTTGCTATCATTTTGCACAGCTCTGCCCAGGGCCTGGCACCTTGTTTACGTCTGTGGAAAAGAAGAATGATCAGTGGAGGTGGGTGGTTTAACCCTGCCTATCTCCTTAGGGGCTGGACAAATCGCTGGATGTGAGAACTCATTCATAAGACTCTAGGGACCTTGAATAAAGGAGAAGGTGTGAATGACCCATCATTGTTTCGATTGCATGTGTCAGATTTCTAATTTGGTCTAATTATATGAATATATGCCTATTACCTTCTCTCAGAAGAAGGTTGGGCTCAGCCAACTCTAACGCAGTGACCTTGCTTCCCTTCTGTATCCATCTTCCACGCTGAGCCAGAATAATGGTTCTAGAAGGAAAATCCAGTAATTCTTTCTCCTCCTTACAACCCCTTCATGGTGTCCAGTTGCCCTTAGGAAAAAAGGCAGGATCCCTGAATATAATCCACTGTGCTCTTCATGGTTGGCCTCTCTTTTCACTTCCTTTCCCATCCTTCCCCACGCCCTGCAACCAACCTTTACTCCCAGAACAACCTTTAGTCCAGAACAACTTGCATTTCCCAAAGGTACCCCAGTGTGGTACCTATTATTTCCCTGTTGCCTTCTGCCTCCAACTCTCCTTCTGATCTCAGCTGGGGCTCTACTTTTCTCTGAGATGCCATCCTGGGCTGTTCACATCTGTCCATCCCCTAATCCCTTATCTACTGGCACCATCTATTATCCCCCCACCTAGTTCAGAGTCTAATACCCAGTTGGTGGGTCCTCCAAGATATTTATTGGTTGAATAAATAAATGAGCATGTCCAATGATTAACAATTACCTTACCTTGTGGAGGGTGAATACAGAGAAACATAGTTAAAATTTAGGACAAGATTAAGGTGCAAATGGAATTGAAATTGTTGTTTTATTCTTTTTCTTTTTTAAATCAAGGTTGTGTTGAATTTTTTCCATTACCATTTAGTAGCCTTATAGCCCACCCATCCCTGCAATCACCACATTGTTGTCCATATCCAGGAGTCCTTTTTCCTCAATCCCTCCACCTCATCCCTCCCCACCCCCTGGAACTGATTTATTTTTTTAAGAGAAAGAGAGAGAAAGGGAGAGAGAAAGAGAAGAGAGAGAGACTTCCACCAAGATGGAGATGTAGGTGGAACCACCTTGCCTCTGTGCACAACCAAATCTAAGAACAACTATTTTTAACAACAATAAACACAACCAAGCCACACAGAAAATCGACAATACGGAGTCCAAAGACACCTAAATGCTCAGCTAAACTGGTAAGAGAAGCGAAGCCGGCAGCGGAGCAGGTTGGCAAGAAAAAAATCCCCGGGTGGTGCGCAAGCGGTGAAAGGCGAGGATCGCGGGCTAGCTACGGGAGCGCACAGGGAAGAGGCGCGGCTGGCTGTCTGCGGTTGGTCGGTCGCGCATTTGCGTGCGGAGAAACCAGTGAGAAGGGAAGCCTGCGCGGGGCAGCGGGCTCGCACAATTCCGATCGGATAAACAGGCCCGGGGGGAGTGGTGTGACTGGACGGACTGGGCTAGCCGAGAGGACCGCCATTGCTCCCTCTCTGACCACGCCCCCACACACAGCGTCACAAACCAGCGACCTGGGTCGCCCCGTCCTGGTAAACAACTAAGGCTTCGCTCCGCTTACTTAAGGGCACGAATAGACCAAAAATGGCTCTAGGACAACTCAGAGCCCCAGAACCGATAGATCTAAGCGATGAAGAAATAGCCAGTCTTTCAGATGCACAGTTCAAAACACTGGTTATCAGGATCCTTACAGAACTGGTTGATTTTAGTCACAAATTAGAGAAACATATGGAAGCTAAACTAATTGAAATGAATGGTAATACAAAGGAAACCAATAGTAATGGAAAGGAGATTGGGACTCAAATCAAGGGAGTGGACCAGAAGGAAGAAAAAAATGATCGAACAGAAAAGAATGAAGAAATAAGAATTCAGAAAAATGAGGATAAGCTTAGGAACCTCCAGGACATCTTTAAACGTTCCAACATCCGAATTATAGGGGTACCAGAAGGGGGAAAGGCACAGCCACCAGTGGAAAACTTATTTGAACAAATAATAAAGGAGAATTTCCCCAATCTGGCAAAGGAAATAGAATTCCAGGAAATCCAGGAAGCTCAGAGAGTCCCAAAGAAGTTGGACCCAAGAAGGTACACACCAAGGCACATCATCATTACATTAGCCAAGATTAAAATGAAGGAGAGAATCCTAGAAGCAGCAAGAGCTAAGGGGACAGTCACCTACATAGGACTTCCCATCAGACTGTCAGCGGATTTCTCAAAAGAGACCTTACAGGCAAGAAGGGGCTGGAAAGAGGTATTCCAAGTCATGAAAACCAAAGACCTACAACCAAGATTGCTCTACCCAGCAAAGTTTTCATTTAGAATGGAAGGACAGATAAAGTGCTTCTCAGATAAGACCAAATTCAAGGAGTTCATCATCACCAAGCCCTTATTATATGAAATGTTAAAGGGACTTACCTAAGAAAAAGAAGATAAAAAAGATGAACAGTGAAAGGACAGCAAACTCACAGTTAGTAACAACCACACCTAAAACAAAAGCAAACTAAGAGGACAGCTAGATCAGGAGCAGAACCATAGAAATGAAGATCACATGGAGGGTTAGCAACAGGGGAGTGGGAGGAAGAGAAGGGGGGAGAAGGTACAGAAAATAAGTAGCATAGACAGTAGATAGAAAATAGATAGAGAGGAGGGTAAGAATAGTAGGGGAAATACAGAATCTAAAGAATTTGAGACACGTGTTCATGAACTAAAGGGGGAAATGGTGGGGGAGGGGTATGCAGGGTGGAGGGGAATGGAGGGGGGGAATAGAACAAATGTAATGGCATAATCAATAAAAAAGTTTTTTAAAAAAAGAGAAGAGAGAAACATCCATGTGAGAGAGAAACATTGACTGGCTGCATTTCCTATGTGCCCCGACCAGGGACCAACCCCACAACCTTGGCATGTGCCCTGACAAGGAATCAAAACTGCAAACTTTCAATTTGTGGGATGACACCCAGCCAACTAAGTCACTGTGGCCAGGGTAGGAACTGAGTTTTTTTAAATTAATCATTGTTTTTCTCTAATTCCTGCTTGATCCTGGTACTCATTCATTTTACAAATACTTATTTTTTTATGCTGCATTGCCAGATAATGCCCTAGACTCACCTGCCAAGATAAATATATATTTTTGGCCTCAGAAAGGTCACAGTCTAATGGGGAATGCGGATACACCAAAAAGAATCTCATAAAATATGTACCAGTACTTTGAGATCATGCCCTGTGCCAAGTTCTTTTTCACATACCATTTGCGATTTTCTCTGCAACTCACAAGATGGGCATTGATCCCATTTTTACAGATGAGGAAACTGAATTTCCGGGAGATTTAAGAGGGCAACTTCCCTTTGTTCCATCATGCAATGGAGAAACCAAAATAAGTACTGGTATTCCTTAACACCTGTACTCTTTTCTGTTATGCTACCTAATTCACACTGCGCCGGGCTGTTAATACAGTTGAATAGCACTTTGTACGGCTGCTGTCATTTTTATGCATATTACCTTGGCTCAGTCTCACAAAGCGCTGTTTATGGTGCAGACGAGGACACTATTACAATCCTTCATTTACAGGTAGGAAAACTGAGACCCCAGGAGGCTACTAGGGAACAAATCCCCAGGTCACGTATTAATGCAAACAGGAACAGAATCCAGGCTTCATGATGGTGGTTTTTTTTTTTCTTGGCTCTTTCCAAGTACACCCTCCAAAACCAGGCCGCTCCCACCCCAGACATGTTATTCCTTTTGTCCACAGGAGACACGGACATTCATTTCCTATGTTCGGCTCTGCCCTAAAGCTGATGATGGCAGTTTTACAGACGACTCCAGAGGCCCTGCACAACACTCCCTGTCCCCAGTCAGTGCTTACACTAAGTTTGCTTTCAGGCCTTTATCCATTGCTCCCCTTTCAACTGAAATAGGAAAGGGCCCCAGAGACCATGGCCAGCTATTGCCCCCATTTGAGCATGGCCCGTTCGCCCAAATCATAGCTCATTATCTGGGCTTTAATATCTTATCACAATATTGTTTTCTTCAGACTGATAGCAATTCATTACTTTTAAGTACACAGGGGGATAATTCCTGAAGAGGACTGATCATCTCTCTGAGATACAGTGCTTGCTACTAAAGAAAAAAAAAGAATATTCCCAGGAAGAGATTCCTTTAGCCCTCATTGTTCTCAACCCTTTATTTCCTTAGTTCAACAGGCATTTACTTTCTTTTCTGTGTACCTAGCTGTGTTACAAAGGAACAAAGAGAAACATGATGAGGACCCTTCCTCTTAGGGTAACAACTGTATTAAAAAAAAAGACAGATGTGTGAAAAAGTAGCTCTAACTCAGAAAGATTATATAGCACTGTAGTAAGACGTTGAGGTTTGCTGGCAGGCAAGTCATGAGTTCAAATCCTAGTTCTGCCACTTCATTAGAATTGCGTCCTTGGGCCAGTGAGTTAATCTCCCAGAGTCTCAACACTTTCACCTGGCACAACAAAGACAATGCAGGTACCAATGTCAATGCCTTATTTAAGGATGACATGAGATAATATATAGAAAATCCTGGTTAGTAGCCAACACATAGTAAAATATTCAATACAAATCATTATTTTTATTAGAATAGGAATGTTTTACTATTACTATTTTCCAACACCCAGGCCCTCTGCAGGGCTGCCAGCCCTTTAAGGATGGGGTTGCCTGGTTTCTTCTGTCATCATCCTGGTTAGCAAAGGGTTCATCACACATTTAATTCTAAAAAAAAAAAAAAAAAAACCTCTGAAAAGTTCTCATTAGGCCTTTCGCTAACGACCCACGAAACCGTCGAGAAAGGGCCAGGCAAAAAAAGCTCCACTTCTGGGTGAAGTGGCAACATGTTGTGTTGTTTCGCTTCAACTGGTGGTGTGACAAGGGGTTCAAAAAATAAACCCACATTTAAAAACAATTAGCTAACTGTATTTTGGACATACAGACAAAAATGAGAAAATTCATGCCATTCTCTCATATATATATTTTTCAAATTGACTACTTTCATACAATCTTTAGAGGAGGCCTACTTTGCGTGGGCCCTGTGCTGGGTGCTGGACAGAGAGGAGCGAAACCCTGCGCCTGCGCTCAGGACAGCGGCAGCTCCAAGGCGCCGGGGCGGAGGGAAGAAATAAGAAACACACCAGGTGGGCCGCCCAGTGATTCAGCTAGAAATTGGTAACACAGTGAAAACTGGGGCCGTTCGTCTGGGATAGAAAGTTGGGCTGAGAGCACACTGCTTAGCACTATAGTTGACCACTGTATTCTTTACACGTACGTCCCTTTGTTTGGGAAATTATGTTACTCTGAGATACTGCAATTCTGGCCTGGTTTTTTTCTTTGAATCTCTTTACACTGGAATAATTTTTAGGTTTAGAGAAGAGGTGCAATGGCACAGAGAGTTTTCTATACCATCCACCCGAATTCCCCGAATGTTAACAACTTATATAATGATTTGTATTGGTCAGGGTTCTCCAGAGAAACAGAACCAGTGGGGGATAGATGGGAAGGGACTGATGATGAAGGGTTGGCTCATGTCATTATGGCGGCTGCAAGGCCGAAACCTGCAGAGCCGGTGTCCCAGTGTGGGTTCCACGGCTGGCAGGCAGCTGTCGGTAGAGCCAGTGTCTGAATGTGAACACCGTCAGGGAGGGCAATTCCCTCTCACGCAGGCAGGTCAGCCTTGTGTTCTGTTCTGTCCCTCCACGGATCGGAGGACGCCCACCCACACTAGAGAAAGTAATCTACTGTATTTTGCCACATGGAATGCACACTTTTTGCCCCAATTTTTGAGGAAAAAAGAAGGATGTGTATTATACATGGGTAGTACCTGAAATGCCTTGTATCTGTTCTTGGGTTTTGTAATTATTTGTTACATAAGAGCTCTTGTACCAAATGTTCAAAAGTAAGTGCTAAAATTCCTTTATAATACAAAATACAAGTATCTAAATATACAGACACAATTGAATTTAAAAATTAAAACAAAAGCTTTGTTTTCCTGAAAGTTTGGGCCAAAAACATGGGTGCGCATTAGACAGAGGGGTGCATTGTGCATGGCAAAATACAGTACTTTACTCAGCCTATAGATTCAATGTTAATCTCGTCTAAAAACACACTCACAGAAACACCCAGAATGATGCTTGACCAAATACCTGGACACTCCACATCCCAGTCAAGTTGAAGCATAAAATTAACCATCATATACCACAGCATACTTATTAAAACTCAGAAATTAACATGGAAACCATACTATTAACAGACTATAGGCTTTATGTGGATGTCAATTGCCTTCCCATTGAAATAGCCTCTGTGTCACACCAAGTGACTTCAGAGTTAGGCACCCAGATTGGGACCATTGGATCTGCACTGCCAAAACAGAGCAGGATGTTCAGCCACACAACACGAACAGACAAACAGAAAGACCACTGGCTGAGTAGATGAGATACTTGCATCTCAGTCCTGGCTTAGCTACTAACAGATTTTACCCAGGTCCTTGTGCAAATTGCAGCATCTTCCTGATTCTCTATTTTTTAAAAAATCTAACTCAATAAACCAAAACAGTCCTTTAATCTCTAAAAACTTGAGAAGAATAACACACACACACACACACACACACACACACACACACACTGACCCAGTGTGGTTCTGCTCCCAGAGGCGCCAACTCAAGGGGAGTGTGCCCTCAGGCCCTCAGCTCTCAGTGCTGGTAGGTTCAGTGTAAGCCTTTGCCCTTTTCTAGCCACAGTGAAGGACCCTCTCAGCCCACCTTGAAATTCTCTGAACTCGTGCCTCTCATCCCCCATGGCCGGGACTCTTGTCTGACCCGCCCCTCTTCTCTGAATGACACGTGTCCTGACAACCTCCCGTAAGGGTTCACGGCTTCTCATCCTTCTTACTGATTTTCATGACTTGGTCCTTGGCTCTGAACCTCTTGGGTACTAAACCCAGATAGCACTCTGGGGTCCAGGATACTGGCCCTGCCCTGCCTCTAGCTCCACCACCTCTAGCTCCAAATGATGCTTACACCATCATCATTTTTATGTTAAGACTATGTGGTTGCAGTGAATGACCGTGTTTCTTGCACAAGCTGAGACACTGATTTGCTGCTCAGATACGTGTGTGTGTGCGCACACATTCTGCCTGTTGGGGACAGCTTGTGAGGGCTTCCCTGAACAGATCTTTCTGCACTGAAGAAGCTGCCAGAGACAAGTGGTGTGACTTTTAAAGAACATTTCTAGATGCCTTGTAGAAAAAGATTGAAACAACGAGAAGCCAAGTTCAGCCCAGCACAAAGCAAAAGTGCTCCGGATCAGCTCAATAGCAGCAATTGCAAAAGACTGGGTGGCTGATGCACTTGACCCAAAGCCTTTATGTTCATAACTCTCCTCTCCATTGTCCCATTTCCATACCCTCTCCTGGACGAATATAAACTACAGGAATGTCAGCTCATTTCCACAATGGAAATTCAAAGCCATAATTATAACTAATGACATGCTTGAGTGGCTAAACCATCTTAAACCTCTCCCTACTGTGTGCCAGGTCCTGCTGTCAGTAGGTATGAACTAGGGAGAAAAGGTCAATCAGCCATGATCTTAAATATCAAGGAGCTCATTAATTGGAGGGAAGGATGAGTGGAAATATTATAAATTATGTATCTATACTGGGCCTGAGGGGGGAAGGGGAAAGACTGCAGGGTCCAGGACTCACGGCGCACCTGTGGGTTAGGTAGTCAGAGGTTAAGGTCCACGCATCCCTCCTTCAGGCTCTTGGACTGAAGAAAAACAGATGCTCCTTCCTGCTGCTACCACCTTCATTTCCGGCCTGACCTGCAAGACTGAGCCTGTGTGGCCTGCTCGTGCACGACTGTCTACAGTTCAGCCCACACTGCTAGAGAAGCCAGATTCCACTGCTCTAAAAGTGGATTCTGACAGTACTTATACAACTGTATAAACTTATCCAAACTCACTGAAATGTACATTGAAACTGAGCGAGTGTTATGGTATGTAAATTATATCTCAAAAAAGCTCTTAAAAAAAGGCAGATTCATCTTCTGGATATATTTGTGATTGTGCAGTTCTGCAGATCAAGCTCATCTGTGCTTCCCTAACTTCTTCAAGACCAAACCCATGCCTCTGGCTTGACATTCAGAACACAATGCACAGTAAAGCTTGGCTCTGTGCGGTATCTTTGGCTTTCGTGGGGGGCTGGCCTCCCCTGGGATCTGCATGTTCCATCCCATGCACCCCATTTCTCTCCATCCTACTTCCGTCCATGTCATCCCATCCCACAGGACCACATTGGCTTTGCTTTAAGCACTTCCTTTAGCAATGCACAGCTCTACGAGAAGTGTCAAGGATAAAGAAATGAAGAAAGCAAATCTCTGCCTTGTGAGAGCTCACAGCCTCACCAGCTCATTGTGAAGACAGACATGGAAATGGGCCATCAGAACGCTAATTGTAGTCCTTACTGTGTGCTGGGCATTGTTTCCAGTGCTTTTACATAGAAGAGCTCATCTCATTTTTATGACTACCCTGTGCAGAAGGTATTATTCTTATATCCATTTTACAAAGGAAGAAACTATAGGAAAAAAGGATCAAGCAAAATGCTTAAGGCCACAAAGCAAGTAGGTGGTAGAGCTGGAATTGAAATCCGGACAGCCTGGCTCCTGAGTCCGTGTCTTAACCTCCATGCTATAGAGCCCCAGATCAGAGGTAGAAAGGTTTCCTGAAGAGGTGGCTTCTCAGCTGATCTGTGGAGAGATGGGATCTGCCCCACAGACACATGGCAGGGGAGACAGAATGCAAAGCATGGGCAAAGATATGAATGCATGCAGCAGATGTGTTGGGGGACCACCGACAGTGGAATGTGGCTGATAAGTAGAGGGAGCGCTGGCAATACTGGTGGGAGATGAGGCTCGAGATGTTGTGAGGGACTGGATCATATCAGGTACAGGTCCTATATTAACTAGGATGCCTTTACCTCAAAGAAGCAGAAAAGTAAGGCTGAAATTGGCTTAATCTATAAAACAGAGATTGTTGCTTATATCAGAAAGTCCTGGGACAGCGAGGATTTCAGAGTCATTCAATTCAGCAGCCCCACTGTGTTGTCAAAGGCCCCTGTTTTCTATTTCTACACTTGGGCACGCTCAGTGTGGGTTTATTTTCCCAGATGACTCACTTCATGGTCTCAAGGAGACAGGCGCATGCTCCCTCCTAGGGACACGCCCACGCAGCCTTTCCCAACACAAGCACACACCTCCCAAACCCTGATGGACCTCACTAGGCTTGCAATCCACAGCTCACCCCAGGCTAACCCTCTAAACCTGCCAAGACCGCCTTTTCTCTGACTTCTCAGTGAGCCGAAGCAGCCCAGCCTAGGCTCATTTCCCTACCTAGTCTCTCTCCTGTTCCTTCTTCTATCCTAGGCCCTTCCCTGTTTCACTGTCCCCAGCTTTAATAAACATCCTCTAAAAATCACCTGGACTTGGGTTGTGAAACCTTTTCTGCATGAAGTCAAGTACCCACACACTATCAGCTGGCCTCAGGCAGACCTGCGCTAGGCCAGGTCCCCTTTCTGGTAATGGTATGACATAAACATGTGACTCAGCATTCACTGGAAGGCGATACTACTAAGGAACTATGAGAGGGACCCAACCTTATACTTTCTAACAGTAAAATCGAGGTTGCAGTGATCTTCCCATCTTCCGATGCTCTGTCTCCCCTTCTGAACACAGCGTGGAGCAAAAGTATGGAAAATAATACAATACTTAACAAATAATAACATAAGAATAAACTGTTTTTTACTCATAACTATAAACGTACTTTTGCCCCACCTTGTATGGTTTGTATGTTGAGAGACCCCTGCCTTGGGCCCAGTGTCCAGTTGG